CAACATGGTCACTAAACCCCTGCAGCTGCTTCCTGCCCCTGTGTGCTCCACAGTTGTCATCACAAGCATTGTTTCATTCAAAACCAAACTTCAGCATGGTTCTCCCTCAAGCCACAGCTGCATCCCTACATTGATCTGAGATGCCTGGCAAAGCAAGGAAAGGTCTCTCCTTTCTGTCATTCCCTGGAGTCAGGGTCTGTCCAGGGCACCTTGCCTTGCTGAAACTGCAGGGCCCAAGTCCAGGTTTATTCGGTGCCTCATAACCAGGAGGTTCTCTGAACACAGCTGGGGAGGAGACAGGTTTCCATTGCTAAATTACCACCAAGAAAAGGATGTGAGTGTGAGATTTACAGCCATCCAATTCTCCTTGCATGAATTTCAACTTGCAGCTGAGGCCTAGGATTAAGTCTAGCCTGGATTCCAGCAGTGTGTCCTCAACCCACCCCATGGCTGGCATGGAGAGGAGAGAAGAGGTTAGGAAGCAGGAGAATTTGCTTCTAGAATGGGTCACCTGGCTGCAGGAACTGAGCCCATTGGCCAAGGAAACTGGGCAGCCATCCCTACCGTCTCCTCAGTCTTACAGAGGCTGGTCTGTGGTCCAGGGACTCACCTGCTCCATCCATGAGTGCACCAGCAAACAGCAGAGAGTGTCTGAGCAGTTTGGTGCCATTCACTTGGACCCTTCTCAAGGGATCTGCAAGGATGCCCCAGCTGAGGCCCCATGGGGCAGCTTCTGGCTCTCCACCCCCATCTCTCTCTCTAAACCCCAGAGACAAGAGAGAACAGAGAGGAGAGACCTTTCCAGACTGTCACATGGGATCTGCTCTTCTTCTTCCAGCCAACACACCTAGTGAAGAGTGGCAAGGACAGAGTGCAGACAGCTCAACCCCTCAGCATTACCAAGGCCAACCAAGATTTGGTCAGAGGATCTGCTCTGCCTCATGGAAAGAGAGAATTGAAAGCAGAGAACCAAGTAGTTTCTCCTGATTTTCTCTTTTACCTTGAGTGGAGCCTTGTTGCAGCTGTCAACGATCAACACGGTCCTGATCATACTCCTTTCTAACTGAAAAAAAACCCACTAACCTCTTTCTAACCCAAGTGAGGGTTGAAAAGCAGCTGGCAGAAACCACTTCAATCCATCCATGCAAGCCAGGCCCTGAAGGCACACTGGGGAGCCCTTTCTCTTCCTCTCTCATCTGCACAAAGTGCCCAGCCAGGACAGCAACGCTGTCTGAACGGCTTCTATGAGCCATATTTCTCAGCCTGAACTATTGCTTTGCACCATGGCAGCTACAGGCCAAAAGCCTCAGGTGCAGAAGAGAAGGATTTGGGAAAGAACACTGTGCTGGCTTGACTAAGGGCTGCATCCTTCCCCTGCACTCCTCCCCTTCCTGCCCAGACTATTTTTCTCCCCCACGGGAACAAACACTACGTGCTTCTGTTCTACAAGTACTGGTGACCCATCAGGTGTGATCAAGCACAGCCACCACACGAGCAGATGCATTTTCCAACTAGATTTGCTGTCCTCTTCCCTCACTGAGGAGTCCCTCTATTTTTTAAGACTGAAGTAACCAGAAGCAGGAAGTTGCATCACTCAGTAAAGGTCACATTCCTTCCCCTTTCAGTCCAGAATTAGCACCAGTTCGAAGCCGCAGAACTCAAGTGAATACTATGCAAGACAACCACAAATTCTGGAGTAATGGAGGTTAAAGCAGAAGTGGGGCTTTGATTAAATAACCCAATCTACTGTGTGCATTCTCTCCTGTCTGAAGTCTTTCAGCTCTTCCTGAAAAAAGCAATTCCAAAATCAAGGGTCCCCAAATTAAGATTCATTGACTACGGATCACTACAAGTAGCCTCAAGGGGGTCTGGGAGACTCACTTGCATTTTTGGGCATGTTGCTGACAAGCTGTTTTACACAGGAACCTCTTGGGAAAACTGGAGGGCTGACAGGGCTAAAAGCAAAGACTAAGCCAGTCTCAGCTTTGACTGCACACCTTAGGACCAACTAGCCACTCCCTCAGCAGCCCTAATTTCCCAAATCAGGAATCAGAAGTGGTTGTGGGATGTTCAGCTTCAGGCATCTGAGACAGAAGAGGTGAGCATCCAAATATGAGAGGTCCCATTTTCCCCAGAGTGCTCATGGAAAGAGAGATAGAGGCAGAGGGAAGCAACTCATTAATTTTATGAGGAGGTAAAGGGGAGGGAGGTGGTGAGGGAGGTGGGACAGGCAATCAACTGTAGCTCAGAAATAAACCCTCCCCAGAAAATGAGACCCAAAAGCAAAAAAACCCCAACACATTAGCAGATGTTATCAGTGGTACCACTACTTCTAAGAAACAGCATGTCCTTACCAAAAAGGTTTGCAAGAATGTTTGTGGCCGAGGACCTAAGGTACTTGCTACAGAGATGTGAGATCAGAGGTCAGCTCAATCCTGCAACATAAAGGTGGCAAACCCGGGTCACGGCAGATCGGCAGTGCAGATGGTGTGCATGAGTCGGGGAGAGGGATGGGACTGCTGGGGGAGAAGGATGCAGGGCTGGGCTGAGCCGCTGCGCTCAGCTCGCCCAGGAGCTTACCTGGCAGCAGCCCTGCCCCCTTCCACCACCTGCGAGGCCTGAAATGAAAAGCTGCTGATGCTGCAGTGAAGATTTTGGGGGGAGGGTAAGCCAGCAAACAAAGCAAGACAGAAAAAAAAAAATTCACAAAGCTGCCTTAAAGAAATGAACAACAAAAATACGGAAGAGAAGAAAATAAAGGAGCAGTAGGAAAAACACATCTGCCAATGGCCCTCAGCGTGGGAGGCTGCTGAGTCTCCAAAGGACCTGATGCCCAAGTACTGTCTGTCAGTCCTAGGTGCACTGTCCTGCCCTGGGACCACTGCAGACAGATGTGAGCAGTGATGCCTGGGAGATCCACATGCCCAGGAAAGGTCCACCAGTCCCTAGAGCCCATTCTACAGTCCAGAGTACAAAACCCCCACCCCACTGCTGCCCATAGGCAATGTCCCCTCAGTGTCCCCAGGTGACAGCAGCAGCAGTTGTTGCCCAGAATAACCAGCCCAAGGCCCTGCAAGACTCCTGGCCATGAAAATCTAAGCAGCGATTGCTCAAGTGGTTTGGATGGAGCTGCTGATGGTGCAAAGGCTTTGAATTTGCCTGTTATAGGTAGATTTTTTTTTTTTGTGCGTCATTGCTTTGCAGGATCCTGAAAAGTAACTCTCATTGAGCCCCATGGGTTTCACTCTCATTCCCTCAGTTAACTCCACCACCGCCCTCTCCAAGTGAAAAATACAGCAATGCTAACAGCTCTGCTTAGCATTTTACAGTCTGGGGGCTCTAGGCATGATAAAGATATAACAAAAGGAAGAAAGCAGACATTTTTCATGATGCCACCAATGCATAATCAACCCACCATCAGAGGAAACCGGGGCTTATTTCTGTTGCTGACCCCAGAGCACACAGCCCTTGCAGATCTTTGCTCCTGGCAGTGCTAAAAGCAGGTGAAGCCCAAAAGCTGAGGACAACTGGGAGTCCAGAAGCCAGGGGAGAAAGGAATGACATCTCTTGATGGGTAAGTTGGGTTTGACTGGCGAGAACAGCTGCAGGCTGTAGGTTTGGCTAGTGAAGGCAGACTGCATGGAGCCCCACACACCACCTCAGTCTCTCCAGGACCAGAGTGAGGATGTGCCAATGCCAGCCCTTGGGCAGGTCTCTGGATTTACACTGCCTGCTGTAATGCCCTGCTCACACCACAGAGGCAAACCTGAGCCAGCCCAGCTGTCAGCAATGCAGAGATGTTGCCCAAGGGCCTCAAGGCAAGGCTTGCTATTGGTAGCCTGCCTGACCCAAGGACGAGGTGCAATCCCTCCATCCCTGCCTTCCCTGCTTGCTCAAGTTTCCACTTGGCCCATGCCAGGCTTTTACACGATGCCAGTTATGGTGGTACTCAGACCACAGCATAACAGGCAAGGGGTGACAAATTTCCCCACATCATCCCAGGAAGTGCTCACCACTGGGTGGAGAATTGGGTCTTACAGCCCTTGGGACAGCAACAGAGAGAACATCCCCCAGGCTTGCCTTGAGCCATCACTGGGAAATTGGTTCCCTGCAGCTCACCCCAGAGGGAAGGGGTATGAGCTGCACACATCTGCTAGGGGGCTGCCTGCCACAGAGCCTTGAATGTGGGGTCTGACGTCTCCAGTTTAGCATGGGCTCTTTGTGCCTGTGGGCTGAAGGGCTCCCTCCGCATATGGGCAGAGACTTCACACTGACAGTACAGGCTGCCTTTGGAGAGGGCTTTGCAGCTCAAGGTGTAAGGTTGGTATTGATTTTCCTTACATAGGCTGGGAAATCTTGAGCTAGAAAGCTTGTTCTTGGTAACAGGACAGGTCCTTTCTTTCTTCAGGCAGGACTCAAGCTCAGGAGGAAACTTTAGAACATCCATTTGCACTTTTTGCTCCTTTTCTACTAGGTCCACTACATGGCAAATCCCCACCATCACTTACAGCTGAGGAGCCAGCACTGGGTACAGACATTCCCAGTCTCAGCACCATCACAGTGAACAATAAAGCTCCACAGTTGCTCACTTTGCTCCAGAATTTCTGAGCTATGCCCATGTCCTCAGTTTGGAGGCCATTCACAAGGTAGAGGGAGGGGAAGTAGCTAGAGATCAAGTCCTCAACAGATGTAAATCAGTATGGTGCTAATGAGATCAGGGGAACTGCTTCCATCAGCTGGGAGATTTGGTCTAAGCACCAGAGATGGAGCTTGGACAGCTCTAAAGATATACAGGACCATAGTGTTTTCATCTTCTAAATCAGCGTGACTTTATTTGTTCTCATCTCTGGGTGGGAGAGGTCTGGATCACTGCAATGAGATGTTGAACCCAAGGCTATCAAGGTAGTTTGGGGAGAAAGAAGTCTGAATACACCCAGCTTGTTTCAAGATTTTGCCAACCAGATGGCCTTGGGCAAGAAGAAAAAGGAAACTTGACTTACCTTTGTTCTTCCTCAAGTTCTTCTTTGGTCATCATTGACTTGTACTGGTTTCCCCTCAGCTTTCCAGGACTGTATTTAAAAGAGAATGTCTCATCTGCAGCTGGAGAGTGGGAGAGGGAAAGACAAAGAAGAGGAAGAGATTGCGTGAGCCAGAGACCTCCCAAGAGCAAGGATCAACAGCAGTGGGCTTGTTCTCTTGAGCTGCTTGCTGACCCCTGCTCCTGCACCTGCACCCGCACCCCAAATGCTATGGCCACCCCAAAAGACTTCCTCAGTCAGGCCCAGGCTCCAGAAAGCCTGGGCAGTGTCAGGGAGGCTGTGTGGATTGCAGTGGAGAGCCAAGATGCTACTGGTCAGAGGATGGCAGAAGTCCCGGCTGCAGCTCGCACTGGAAACAGCGAAGACCACTGTGAGTGAGCAGCCCTGCTTGGAAGCAGATACACGTAAATCCTACAGCCCGCAAACCATATGCTATTGCTCTGCCTGGATTCAAAGCCTCGCAGGCCCATCTTGGCTTATCAAGACATGCTAATCCTGCCCTGATTAGCTTGCAGCATTTTCCGCTGCTCCACTCCAGACTTGCATTCCTTCTCTCTCCCTCTCCTTAACTAGGGGCCCTGTCCCATGCTTGGGGCTCATGGATGGTGCCACGAGCAGAGCTGTCCCAGGCCACACAGCCCAGCAGCTTTCCTGCAGCCCTTGTCAAAGCTGGGTCCAAGTCCCTGTCACTGGCCAACAGACCCAAAGAGGAACCCTGGGTTTTCTCCAGTTCTGGGTGCTCTCCTCCCCGGCTCGCCAGGCTCAGCCCTGTGCTAATTAGAGCACCGAAGCTCACAGACTCTGAGGCAAAGCTGATTCTTTTCCAATCGGATTTTGTTTGAGCACTATTTGCTTTTAAAAACCTCTCCCCTGCTTTATCTTCCTAGAGATGAGAGAAAACAGCAGGAGTGGAGGTCAATCCAACGGGCGGCCCAAGGAAGAGCAGCTGCTTTGGGCAGTTGCCTTTATTGGTTATCTGTGGGCTCTTTATCTGTGAGCCTTTATCTCCCAAGGCCTGCAGGACTCAGCTGCCTTGCATCGAGCTATCTAGCATTGCTGTTTCCACATCCACCCAGAAACATTTGCCATTTCCACCAACCCTCGGAGCTCTGCAGGTACTTCTAAGGGGTCCACAGAAGTAAGATGTTATTATATTATCTACACAGCCTTGAAAAATTGCACATTATCCACTAACCAAATATCCAGGATGCTACCCACAGCACCAGCAAGACACCAGAAGTGATGGAAATCCTCTGTCTTCTGTGGCAGGAGAGGAAGCCTCAACTTGTACATAACCCACGGGAACACATCCTGTCCCCAGCCACCTAGGGAAGTCCTTTCCAATCCTCACCGCTGCTACTGCAGGCACCACATTCATGACAGCCTCTCCTCCTCCACCTGGCCAGATGAAAAACTCCACAGCCCCTCTCCTCCCTTACTAACACCCAGAAGGATCTAGCATCAGCAGCTTCCCTTTATTTTCCGGTCAATCAATACTGCCCTTAAGGATTTTCTCCCTGCATTCAGGGTCAACTGCTTGGCTCAGCAATTTCTCCAGCCCCAGGCTCACACATGCACTCAGTGGCTGCTAGAGCACTCACAGACCATGGGGACCTTGGCAAAAAAGGCAGTTCAGAGCCTCATTTTGTAGGTGTGGAAGCCTGAGAACTCAAATCCAAGCTGTGCAAGGCTGTGTGGGCAGGTACAGGACCAAGTGTGCCAACCGCTGCAAGGTCACTGCTGCTGGCACGCAGAGCACACCCGGAGCAATCTTAGCAGGCTGGGAATTTAACTGAAGCCTCCTCCCTGCAGATATTCACATTTCCTCCCTTCTTCCCTACATCTCCGTGCCTCTGGTGCTGGGGAGCTTCCCTGGGAAGTCCTGGTGGATTACTGCTTGGTTACTGATCTGGAGCATTTCTGTCACCCCAAAACACCATCGGGGCTCCCAGGGGAACAACAAGGCAATCCTTTTCTCTAGTGTCTTCACCCCCATGCTCTGGGTCTGCAGCCCCAAATGTTCACTTCAGCTGGATCCCATTTCTCTTGGTGGGAAAACCTTCCGAACAGGCAGACAAACAAGCATGGCCAGCTGGAAACAAGCAGTAATGCTGCAGCTTATCAGCCCTTCGGGTGGCCACAAAAGTGCACAGAAAGAAAATTCAGCTGGCTGCTGCTTTGGGAGATATTAGGGGAAAGAAAAGGAAAAAAATAGGGTGTAACATCCTGTTTCTTACCCTGAGGCAGAGCAGGAGCTGTTTCATTACCTTTGTATAGCTCGCCTGATTTCAAGGACAATTAAGATCATTTCCCTTATGTCGTTTTCTGCCAAGTAAATGGAGATTTGGGATTTTGCTTGTCCCAAAAAGGGCAGTTTAATTGCCACCCTGCCAGAAAAGAATAAGGGAAGAGGGAGGCGAGGAGGCTATGCATCTCTCTGCCCACATGCTGTCGTTAAAAAGGAGCCAGTGTGCTGCTTTGGAAACCACGGGATGTTTTCTGAGCTCAGGAACTTTCTTTGCAGAGCAAAAACAAACTTCAGGAAACACACAAAAAGGGAGGCTGGGTTTTCACGTGGACAGCAAAAACACTACAGAAATATGAGGTGACCTACTTACTCAGAGCCTCCGTGAGTTCATATTAAAGAAAACATTTGTCTTTCAGCTCTCTTCCCTTGTGTTGCCAGCACCATGACCCTGGGCTGGCAAGGTGAAAGCAGCCCCAAAAGTGCACCTTTGCTCTGAATGCGCTCGCTCCAGCATGTCCTGCGCATGCAGCAAGTACCTGCCAGCTCCACGAAGCAGGGAGAAGGCTGCTTTGATGGTTTTGGCCGTTACTTTACCCAGTCCTATTATTGACACCATTTCTGAGGTGTTTTATAATTCAGGAGAGGAGTTGGTGACTGTTAGCAGGAGGTGCTTAAGGAGTATGCTGGGCTAGTGATGACCCATGGCCAGGGACCGTCATCTCCATCTGATCCTGACCCACAGCCAGAGCAGTCCTGAAGCAGAGTTGAACCAGCAGAGGCAAACCCTGGCAGAGCAGTGCTACCGAGCATCCACTGGGCAGGATACATCCATGATTCCTCAAACCAGCTCTCCCGCAGTCCTGCACAGTAACGTCCCCGATCACCAGTGCTGTGGGGAAGCCTAACGGGGTGGAATAAGTGTCTCTTGGGAACCTCGTCTCCAGAGGTGCTTCCCCCATCTTGTGGGCTTGGCACCAGGATTAAAATTTGATTCTCTGTGGCATTAGGCATAATCCTCCCAAGCCAGGGGATTGCCACCCAGCACCTTAAAAAGGGCAAGCGGAAACTGGGGCAGGGAAGGGAGAATGCCCCAAGCTCTCCTGTTCCACAGCTGCTCCCAGCCACCCCAGGCAGGGGCTCCTGGGAACATCCCAGCGTCTCTGAGGCTGCTCAGGAGAGCAGAGGCCCCTTCAGACACACACTCTTGCTTGGCACCATCTGTTTCATTTTCTTATGAGCGCAGCAGTTGTTACCCCAATTAGTCAATTAATCATTTTCCAATCAACTAATTGGCTAATCAGTTAAAAACAGCTCTGACTAAAGTCCCCCGGAGATCGTCCTGGATGGGAACAAGAAGCTTTTGGGGCAGCTTCATCACAAAGCTACCCCACGGCAAACAGCCCCCAGGCGTTTGGGGAAGCAAACAGGGGCTGCTGCCAGAGCAGGAATCTCCTTTGCATTTCCTGGAGGAAGGAGCCAGCCCCAGGCATTCAGGGCTTCATCCCCTTGACCCCATCTGTACCCTCCCAGCAGGGTGCTGGCTTGCTTGGCACTCACCATCTTCATCCTCTGGCTCTCTCACCACCAACTTCTCATTTTCCGAGTCCAGATCTTCCTCCTGGAGGGGTTAAAATACAGAAGAGCCATGAGGAGATGGTGCTGTGCTAAATAAATGTGCTCAGCCAGGGCACCAGAGCTCCCAAAGCAAGGGCTGGGTACTCCTCCTCTGCCTCCTTCAGGGAACAGGCCAAACTGACACTTCGCTAACAAGCAAGGTTCATTCCTCACCCCTATGAGCTGAGCTTGGAGATCACCAGCGCCCTGGAGCACGCGTCCTCCTGCATCCTCCCCAGCCCCGTGCATCTCATTTGAAGTAACAGGGCTGGCATGCAACGGGCAAAGCACACAGGAGAGAAGGGAAGGAGCATGAAGGGAGCCCGGCAAGCTGCCACACTATCGAGGGGGATACAGGAAAAGTCAGGGTGAAGGAGACCCAAGGGAAATTAAAACAATCCGAGAAGGACCCTGCGCAGAGCCGAGTGCTGGCTTTGCAGTGCATGGCTTTAGATAAACTGCAGGAGCACGGTATGCAGCCCCAGCCCAGAACTAGGTTAGTTTGTCATCGGTGAGGAATGCGCATTATTCACAGCCATTTGGCTTCTTCTCACCACCCTGCTCTGGGGCTCCCCAGAAGGACACGCCACTGAGACCCCCGCCCCCCGCAGCCACCGCTATTTTGGGCCACACTTCCAAACATGGGCACTTCCTGCTGGACACCTGGGCTTCCCCAGGGATCGCTGGGAGCAGGGCAGCACCCGAAGGAGAGGGCTTAGGGAGGCAATGCTCAGCCCTGGCCCTGGGGATATGGCCAGGAGCTGGGGGAAGTTGTTCCCCATCACTTCTGTCTCTCCCTGTGAGCTGGGATGTCCCCAGGGAGACGTGAAGGGACATATTATATATATTGATTATTTTAGGTCAGTAGGATCTGGGCATTTCTGAGAATCTAACCGTGGAAGCAAGGAGGAAATTTGGGTGCCGAACCTCCAAGGACGGAAAAAATCCCCGCTCCAACCCAAAGGAAGAAACATCTGATGGGAGCAGAGAGGGAGCAGCTGAGGATGCCAGGCTGGCAGGCGACAGCAACGCGCTGCAGCCGTGGCTGGTCTGGGGAACCCCCACCGCCGGG